GTGCTGTTCTCCAGCCCCTTGATTTGGGGTTTATTTATTTATTCACTGTGAGATACAGTTACAGAGCTTTCCTGTTTGAGTTTTGGTCATACAGTGATCAAACTCCCATCCCTCCACCGGTGCATTCTCCACCACCAATGTCCCCAGCATACCCCCCAGCCTGATTTTTGTTATGTTTTTGTTTGGGGGCCACACCTGGTGGTTCCCAGATACATTGCCTGAGTGGGGCTGGGGGAAGGGATTCACGGGGACCCTGTGTGCTGAGAGTTGAACCCAGGGCTCCAGTCCCTGAGCTTAGATTTAGGGTTATTTGGGGAAGGAAATGCATCGTTTTATGTAGGGAAATCTGGGGGGGGGGGAGACAGAGAACAGAGAGAGAGAGAGAGAGAGAGAGAGAGGTTCAAGAAAGAATATGTTGGGGCTGGAGTGATAGCACAGCGGGTAGGGCGTTTGCCTTGCATGCGGCCAACCCGGGTTCGATTCCCAGCATCCCATATGGTCCCCCAGCACCGCCAGGAGTGATTCCTGAGTAGAGTCAGGAGTTACCCCTGTGCATCACCAGGTACGACCAAAAAAGCAAAAAAGCAAAAAAATGTTTGGGGAAGAGGAGTTGAGGTGGGTGCCCCCATAGATTTTGACTTTAACACCCCCGGGTTAAAGATTGAGCTTCTCTGCTACGAATAGAATCAGGTTAGAAAGTTTCACGGGTCACTGCCAGTGTTCACCCCCAGAAGAACGCAGCACTGGGCTGCGGGCTGTGTCCCTAGAAAGTCACAGGTCTGTGAGAGAATTAGAACCCCAAAGGTTTCAGCACTGGGCCTGGGGAGGGAGGGAGCAGAGAGGGTTCCCACCCTGGTGGGAGCAGTCAGGGGCAGCAGGAGCTGACCAAGGGGAAGCACAGGGCACTGCGGCCTGACATCCCGGGTCCACGGCCCCAGGGTGGCACTGGCTGGTGGGTCCGGCGGAACCAGCTTCTCTGCGCTTCAGCCTGACTGGAGCCGCTGGGATCCTACAGCCAAGGGGGCCGGGCACAAGGGGGCGTAGATGGGACCTTTGTGTCCCCGTGACAGATTCCCCTCCCCCACACCCGCTTTCTGCACGCCACCCAGAATAGCCCTGGCACCCAGAGCGGGCCCGCCTGCCAACTCTCCCTGCTCAGCCAACCATGCCCGTTCCCAGGGCCCTGCAGCCCGCCTTGGCCGGCCCCCAGCGTCGTCCCAGGAGCAGGGCACCGGCACCCAGAGTATTGGGGTTTCAAGGCTCTTGCTGATTGGGCCCAACAGACCCTTTGTTTCTTTTTATTTAAAAAAAAATGTTGTTGTTGTTGTTGTTGTTTTCAGGCTACACCCTATGATGCTCAGGGCTTACTCCGAGCTCTTCTCTCAGGAATCACTCCTGGCGGTGCTCAGAGGATGCCGAGGGTCAAACCCGCAGGCGAGGCAAATGGTCCGTTCCGTGGCCCCCTTCATTCCTACCAGCTTATCTGCTGTGGTGTGGACCCAACAGGAGGCCTAGACTCACCTCACCGACTCATTTTGTGGCCCCCTGGCCCCCCAGGCTCCCCTCAGCCCGCCTCCCGCTTGTTCCCCCCCTGCAGTGGGTGGGCAGCGCCCCGGGAGGCGGGCTGAGCGCGAGGGCGGGTTCCTTTGCTGTCGTGCTGCCACAGACGGCAGGAACTGTTCTGTTCTCTGCCAGGCCTGTTCCTCCCTCAAGGACAGTCTGTCCTCGCCGCGTGAGGGACTCGGCCTGTTTCTTCTCCGCTGTCTGTCTGCCTTTGGGCTTTTTTTCATTGCTCTTTTGTCTCTGGACTTGAAATTAGCAGCTGAAAAAACCCTTGTCAGCTGTCCTGTGTGAACCCCTCTTGGTGAATCTCAGCGCTTCAGGGGGAGATAGGGACACGGGGGGCTCCCAGAGGACCTGCCAGGCGCCATCCCCCTCTCGTCACAGCTCTCGGGCCACTCTCAACTGTCCAATGTTCTAGCTGTCTTTTCTTTTATTCCCTCTACCCTCTCCCACCCTGTGGTTTCAGGGACTGGTGCTTTGGGGATCAAACCTGAGTTCCTGTGTCTAGAACATCACCCAGCTCCGAAGCCACCTTTTCAGCTTCCTTCCCTCCTTCCTTCCTTCCTTCCTTCCTTCCTTTCTTCCTTCCTTCCTTCCATCCCGTCCCCTTCCTTCCCTCCCTCCTTCCCCTCTTCCTTCTCTCCCTCCCTCCTTCCCTTCTTCCTTCCATCCTTCCTCCTTCATTCCCTCCCTTCTTCCTCCCCTCCCCCTTCCTCCCCTCCCTCCTTCCTTGCTTTCTTCCTTCCTTTACTCACTCCCTCACTCCTTCCTTCCTTCCTTCCTTCCTTCCTTCCATCCTTCCCTCCCTCCTTTCTTCCTTTCCTCCCTCCCTCCCTTCCTATAGGGACCACCCATACTGGCACTTGGGAACCTATGGAGTGCCAGATGTGAACTCTGGGACCTCCATGTGCAAACCATGTGCTGCAGACCTTTAAACTATTTTCCTGTCCCCTTTTCTTTTGTGTGTGTGTGTGTGTGTGTGTGTGTTTGGAATAATAAAAGTCACCTATCAGAACCATCAAATTGCAGAAAGTAAAAAAGTCTGAGATACCATGCGGTGGCTAGGATACAGAGCAGTGGAAACTTTCACAGATACAACCACCTTGGCAGTATCTGATGAAATTGAAAACCCCTGCTCCCAAACTCAGCTGTTCCATTCCTGGCCATGTTGCCCCAAGAAAACTGTTAAGCTCAGGTCCCTGGTCCAGAAAGTTCACAGCAGGCTGAATAGTACAGGGGTTCAGCACTCGGTTTGCATGGGCCAATCCTGGTTCCATCTCTGGCACCTCATAGGGCCCCCCCAAGAACCACCAGGGATCAATCCTCTAGGTTGGAGCATGTCTCAGCCTGTTCTTTTTTTATTGCTGAGTAATATTCCATTCCGTAGTATGGATAGAATTATTGTGACTTCATCACTCAAAGTACATTTGAGTGATTTCTGCTTTTATGGTCTGGAGGACATAACCAGGAGTGCTCAAGGCTTACTCTTTGTCTATACTCAGGGGACACTTCTGGTAGTGCCTGGTGATCATATATAGTGCCAGGGATAGAACTGAAGCCAACCTCAATTCCATCCCTGCCTCTGTTAAGGCAAAGAAAGTGCCTTCACCTCAGTACTCTCTCTCTGGCCCTTTTGGGCAATTGTTAACATGACTGCCATGAATGTTCCTACCCAAGTTCATGTGTTTGAAGTTTCTTACCCTCCCCGGCCCTTCCCCCTGACTTGTTGTGGTATGTGAGGGTTACTCAGATGCTCAGTTGTTGTTCTCTCTGGGATCATGCGCACGTGGTAGCGGTATGGCCAGAGATCACTTGGGGCTTCAGGGAGAGTAGAGGGGGGCTATGTGGTGCCAGGGATTGAACCCAGGCCCAGTGTGTGCCAGCCATGTGCTCCAGACTTCAAGCTAGCTCTCTGAGCCCTTGTTTGCAGTTCCTTCAGTGGAAGTGCTGTATTATATCTGTAACTCTACTCTGCTTGTTGCTTTTGGGGCTTCAGCCTTGTAAATCATACCCTCTACTGCTGACTCCTAACCCCTCCACTCTCTCACTTTTTTTTTTTTTTGGCCACCCCTGGCAGTGCTCAGGGGTTTCTGCACTCAGGAATCACTCCTGGTATCCAGGGGATGGGATGCTGGGATTGCTCCCAGCAAACGCCCTACCTGCTGTACTGTCACTCCGACCCTGCGGTTAACACTTTGAAGACCTGCCAGACTGTTCCCAGAGCAGCTGCGCCCTGTTGCCCCCAAGCCTGTGGGAGTTTGTCATGCCTCTGTAGCTCATGGACACACAGTCCTGCCCTGCGGGACTAGGGGGTCAGGGAGGAGTTCCTATTCGCATTTCCCCAGTGACCAGTAATAACATGCAAGTGTTTATGATGTTTATGAGACATTTGTATGCTTTTTTTTTTTCTCTTTTCCACTTTTTCCCCCTCTTGGATATCTTTTTTTCGAAAAACATCTGTTCAGGGCCAGAGAGATACAGTACAGCAGACAGGACATTTACATTGCAGGCACTTGACCTGAGTTCGATCCCTGCACCCCATATGATTCCTGAAGCCCCATCAGGAGTGATCCCCACGCGCAGAGCCAGGAGTGAGCCCTGAGCACCCCACAATCAAGACCGAAAAAAAATGCTATAGATATATAGGTTTCTTTCTGGATTCTTAATTCTATTGCGTTGATCGGTACGCCTGTACTTGTTCAAGTTCTATGCTGTCCTGATGGCTAGTCTTACTTGTTTTTTGGGGGGGTTTTGTTTGTTTTTTAAATTTGGGGGCTTATACCTCTCTGTACTCAGGATTTATTCCTGGTTCTGTGCTCAGGGATCACTCCTGACAGGGCTTAAGGGATCATGTGGTGCCAGGGATTGAACATGGGTCAGCCACGTGCAACGCCAGTGCCCTTGTATGCTCCAAGTGTCACCGTGCTTCCCTCTGCCCTGTAATCAGTTCTGATAACCAGGAAATGTGAGTCCTCCAGTTTGTTCCTTTCAAAGTGTTTTAGGCTAAGGAATTTGGGGGCACTGGCATGTTAGGCCTGTTCTCCATCTTTTTTTTTTCTTGAACTGTGTCCTATGAAGAAAATAGAGTTTCCTATGAAGAAAATAGAGTCACTCATTAATGACTCTGTATAGCGTGTAAAATCATGTAGTATCTGAATCCCAAAAAGCTAAAATAAGATCGGATTTCTTCTCTTCATTTCAGCCCTCTCCACCATCGTTACTGGGGGGAAGAGGTGGGGGGAATGGAAGCCATGTGGAGAAATCCGTGTCTCCTTGTGTGCCCCTAGCTTTAGTCGGATTAGAATCAGGAGAAGAACATTCCAGAACCGGCAGCGAGCAGGGCCTCTCCTGCTTCCCTGAATAGAGCAGTCACTTAGGATTTCAGCTTTCCCTCGGAGTGGGGAGGAAATCCCTGCTCACGCGGCCTCTGCCCACAGAAGCAACAATCAGATGAAGAAACGGCCAACCTCCGCCGTGGGTTACAAGCGGCCCATCAGTCAATACGCGCGGGTCGCCATGGCCATGGGGTCCCACCCCAGATACCGGGTAAGAGACTGGGCAGGAGGGTCGGGCAGAACGTGGCGGGGGGAAGGGGTGCAGGGGGAGCAGGTGGGAGGGGGCTGCCTCTGCTCTGGCTCCTTGCCCCACTTCCGGAGCACCCAGCACCCGGCACCCTAGGGGCGGCTGCCCCTGTCTGATGTGGCACCCCCCTGCCCCTACCACAGGCTGAGAACATCATGTTTCTGGAGCTGGACGTGTCCCCGCCTGCCATCTTCGAGATGGAATTCTCCCACGACCCAGAGCAAGACCCCCGGGCCCTGCACATGGAGCGGCTCATGCGGCTGGACAGCTTTCTGGAGCGACCCGCCACATCCAAAGTCCGGAAGTCAAGATCCTGGTCAGTGCCACCAGGGCTGGCGTGGGGCGTGGGCACAGGGCGGGGTGGGGGGGGCGGGTGTGGGTGCGGTCTAGAGCCCCATGTGATGTGGATGGGGTGGAGCTGAGCTGGTGGGTTTGGAAGAAGATAACTTGGGCTCCTGGGGAAAAAGAAGGGGAGCCGGGTGCCCACTCTCCTCAGCCTCCTGGTCACCCTCCCCCTCCTGCTTTGCAGGTGCCAGAGTCCGCAGCGGCCTCCGCCCTCGACGGCACATGCCTCGCTGGCCGCCGCCGCCGCACTGCACCCAACGGCCGTGCTGGACCAGGAGTGAAGCCCTTGGCCAGGCCGCCCGGCCCACAGACTTGGGGGTGGGGCCAGCCCCCCTCGCTCTTCCCCGCCGCTTGTGTGTGCGTGCGTGTGCATGTGCGTGTGTGAGTGTGCAAGGGGCCGTGGCCGGGTGGGCGCACCACCGCCCGCCTGCCCGCCCGCCCGCCCGTCCTCCTCTACCCCTTTATTTAATTCCCTTTATTTATTCGTGGAGCTCGGCCCGCAGGGAGCCCGGCCCCCCCCACCTGAGCCCGCGTGGTCCCTGCACAGCCTCTTCTGCAGGACGCCACCGCCCCCCACCCCCCACCCCAGTCCGCATCTCTAGCACCGCCAGCTGGGCCAGCAGGGACGTGACCAGTGAATGCCCGTGACCAGTGCCCGATCAGAGAGAATCCGGCCTCCATCTCCTGCCTGCCACCAGAGAGCCACAGGAACTCGCCCGGTGACCTGACAGCAACAGGCCTGCAGGGGGCCTGGCCAGGGCTCCTGCCAGCAGCGTGGGGCTCCCATTCTGGGCCTCAGACGCCGCTGGGGGCCTCTCGGCCTCCTTCCCCAGGACTTTCAGGGGCTCTGCTCTCCCACTTCCACAAGAACTGCAGTGTCCACCCCTACGGGGACAGGGAGCCACCGGCTTCCGCCTCCAGGAGACGTGCAGGACACAGACGGGAAACAGATGACGAGGACAGTCATCTGAGGAAGCCCCAGGGCTGGGTCCCTTTGTCTCTCTCCCCACCGACCAGGAACTGGCCAGCTGGGCTCCGGTCCCCCAGCCCCAGCTCCTTCCGGCTTTCCTCTCGCTCCTGCATTTCCTGTGCTCCAGGGCCTTGTCCTCTCTCCACCCCCCAGGACTGGACACGGCTGGCCCTGTGCGTGGCTTGCTCTCCCCTTCAGCACAGGCCGCCTTGCCCAGAGCCCACACTGACGGGGCACGCTCTGTCGAGCACGGACACTTCCTCTGCATCATGCGAACAGGCCCCCGGCAGTGCTCCCGGGCCTGCCTTTCTCCCTCCCTGGGCCCTCCTGCCACATCTCACGTGATAAGTAAATTTGAACCAAAACAGAACTAGAGAGAGACAGAGAGATCTGAGTTTTCCACTTTTTTCCCCTGTTGGTGGAGGGCCAGAGAAGTAACCGTGAGAGATAACAAGCGCTGTAAGGGATTTCAAAAACACCCACCTCGGGGGTCTCCTTGCACGAGGAGCAAGGGTGGGGGGTGGTGTCAGCCACTAGGGTAAAGGCAGGAACCCACAGACTCGCCTGAAATCTGGTTCTGGCAGTGACCCGGGGCTGAGTCGCTGGTGATTCTCTTGTCAGGAAATGAACCTTCCTGTCCAGGCGATTCGGGGAGGGGCCCCTGCCACAGGGTTGAACTCGACGCTGCTGTCATTTCTGCTGTATTTACTGGACTCTGAGGCCAGGCAACACAAAGGCCCTTTGCCCCCGGCCTCAGCGCTGTCCTCTTTCGGCTTCCACACCCAGGGGATGCTCTGAGACGCAGGACTGTGGGCTGAGGTCCAGCTGCGGCTGTGTGAAGCGCCGTTCCCCCCCCACCCTTCCAGGTGTCCCGGCACTGGGCAGCGGGACCTCCAGGCCTCCCCCAGTGAGCGCCTTCTTGTTTGTGGACAAAGCAGCCTGTGTCACCACCCCTGCCCCACCCCCTTCATCTCTTGGGCACATGAGCTGCCTTGTCTGGTCACTCGGCCCCCTCTGTCTGATAGCACAAACTCCCCAGTGTCAGCACCCCCAGTCTGAGGGCTGGGCCCGAGGTGCGGTGGGCAGGGGACGCCCTACGTGTAGTCAGTCCCGTGTCTGTGCACGCATTTGTGTGTGTGTGTGTTTACGTCTGCGGGGACGCCATGCTCAGTGTAAGGGGTGCTGGGGACAGGGTCGGGGGGTGGCTGTATCTCTGTCTGTCCCTCTCCTCCCCCTCTCCCACATTCACCCTTTCTATATATCAAATCAAATACTGGATTGACAAAGTAAGGGCCTACTTTAGGACCAAATCCCCACGTCTGTTGCTCTGGTCTGTAGGACAGCTGTCGGCGATGCTGCTGTCCCCTGATGGCAATGCAGGACATGTGTAAAATAGAAATATATATAAACATGACCCTCCGTCTCCTTGGCTTAGGACGAGGCCTCTGCAGGCCCCCCCTGTTCAGATAAACACAGTCGATAATAAAGGAATGAGTATCGTTGCCCGGCTGCGCGCCCGCCTGCTCCCTCGGCTTCTCCTTTCACTCCCTTTGTTGATTTTCGTCGTCTTTGCCAGGGTGGGAGGCTCGGGAGTCCTTGGAAGCTGCAGTTAGCAGATCTTTGGAAGACAGTTAAATCACTACCAACCCCCAGCACTATCAGCCTGCAGACCTCAGGGATCCAAAGGGATCCAGGGACTCAGAAGAGAAGGTACTTGCCTTGCACGTGGATGACCTCCCCCGTTTCATCTGATTCCCAGAAGTCCATGTGCTCCCTTGAGCCCTGCCAGGAAGGATCCCTGAGCACAGAGCAGGAGTGATGCCTAAGCACCACCACGTGTGGTCCCCTTCCCCCAAAAAAGAATCTTAAAGTTGATGCAATAGGGTAGCTGGTAAGTGTTTGCCTCGCACCTGGCTGACCAGGGCTCACCCCAGCAGCCCATATGGTCCCCCAAGCACTGCCAGGAGTAACCCCTGAGCAGTGCCAGGTGTGCCCAGTCCCCAATAAAGAAAAAAACAAAGGATTCTACCTGCTTAGGCTGAGGGGCAAGGCCCACCCACCCGCTGGCAGCCTGAGATAGGCCAGTGCACGGATCAAACCAGAGTTGGCCAGGCACGGCAAATGCTTTAGCCCCTGTGCTATCTCTCCGGCCCCTGGACTTAATTTTTTTGGTTTCTCTTTGGACACAGTGTTTGGGGCAAGAGTTCCAGGATCCACCAGGGTGCCAGTCACCTGATGGTGCCAGAGGGGCCAAGCGGTGCCAGGGATTGAGTCTGGGCCCTGTGCATGTGGCTGTGTGCCAGCCCTTGAAGCCATCTCCCCAGCCCCCAGACACCGCCCCCCCTTATGTGTCACACCGCCTCCCCGGCCCATCTGTGCCCCAGGAAAACAGTCCCTCTGCATGTCTTAAGAGAATGGAAGCCAGGCTAGAAGGGCAGAGCGACTAAAAATAAAACCAACTCTGGGCTGAGAGCTGGCACAGGACTTCAGGCATCTGCCTGGCGTGTAGCTCTTGGGGTGCATCCCCAAGCATGGCTCGGGGGAACTCTGCACACAGAGTAACCCCCAGCAGACAAACCTAAATGAAATCGAGTCTCCAGATTTGGAATCGAGAGGTCCAATTTGAAACCCCCCCCCCGTGCTCCTCGTGCTCCCCTAAGGCAGTGGACTCGCTCAGGTGACCGAGCTAGAAGGTGAGCACCCCTCAAGTAGAGGGTAGCGACACCCCAGCGCAGCCTTCAGTGGGCTCTTCCCTGGTCGCCCGCGTGTCCTGAAAGACTGGTCAGGGGAGTTCTGTGTTTTCAGGTGTGGGAGAGGACGGGCTAAGGCTGCACGGCGTGTGGTCCCCCTGAGCTCCACCAGGCACATGCCTGAGCACAGAGCCAGAAATGGTCCCTGAACACCACCAAGCGTGGCCCCGACACCCCTTTCCTATAGGCTGCAGGCATGGCGCTGCCTAAGGAGAGGTAAGAGCAAGCAGGCCGGGGGTTCTGCAAGCACACTGGCTCTCCCCACATCACCCTCATTCTCTTCCTTTTCCCCTGGCCTGCTGGAAGATCATTCACTGCATGGCGTCCAGAGCAAGCACTGAGCTCTGTGGTGTCACTGAGCATTACTGCAGTGGCGCCCAAATGAGCAGATAAAAAAAAAATTTATTTTGAAAAATTTTTATTTTTATTTCTGGGGTAAAAAAGGGGCAACACCCAGTTGTGCACAGGGCTTTCTACTGGCTCTGTTTTCAGGGATCATTCCCAATGCTGCTCAGGTAAACTTACGAGATGCCAGGCTTGAGCCTGGGTTGGCCATGTGCAAGACAAGCGCCCTACCCGCTGTGGATTGCTCCAACCCTGACATAAGTCTTGTTCTAAGTGCTGGAAAGAGAGTGAATAGAGAGACAAAATTCCCTGTAATTAGGTTAGTGATGTGACTCAGTGGTAAAACTCAGGCCTTGTGTGCATCCGCCATACAAGAAAAACAATATATATTGAACAGGGAGGTGGTTCGAAGAACTGGAGTGAGCACATTTTGTTTGTTTCCACACCCAGAGATGCTGAGGGGTTACTCCTGACTCTGCACCCAGGAATCACTCCTGGCAATGCTCGGGGGGGAACCATATGGGATGCCGGGATTGAATCTGGGCCCGTCGCACACAAGGCAAACACCCTACCCGCTGTAATAGCCATGCTGTACAATGCCCGTTTTTGTATCCAAGAGGCCCGGGGTTGCTCCCCAGGACCACATTGTCCCAAAAGCACCACCAGATGTGACCCCATGCACTGAGGGAAAGCAGCTCTCAGCACTGCCAGTCATAACCCCCAAAGGAAAAATAATCATCCACAGCGCCCTGGGTACAATACCCAGAGCTGCAGTAAAGCAGAAAATGATCTGCTTTACTAAAGCATGTCAGATGGTGATTAAGTGCAGTCGGAAATAAAGCAGAAGAAAGAGACAGGGTATTCCAGGCAGGGATTGAGAGGGGTGAGTTTGAAAGCTTTTATTAAGAAAGGTGGCGGGGTTGGAGTGATAGCACAGTGGGTAGGGCGTTTGCCTTGCACGTGGCCAACCCGGGTTCCATTCCCAGCATCCCATATGGTCCCCCCAAATACTGCCAGGAATAATACCTGAGTGCATGAACCAGGAGTAACCCCTGTGCATCGCCGGGTGTGACCCAAAAAGCAAGAAAAAAAAAAAAAAGAAAGTGACTGTGGGGCTGGAGTGATAGTACAGCAGTTAGGACATTTGCCTTGCATGCAGCCGACCCGGGTTCAATCCCCAGCATTCCAGATGGTCCCCCAAGCACCGCAAGGAATGTTTCCTGAGTGCAGAGCCAGGAGTAGTAACCCCTGAGTATTGCTGGGTATTACCCCCCAAAAGAAAGAAAGAAAGAAAGAAAGAAAGAAAGAAAGAAAGAAAGAAACTGTGGGCCATCCCTATACTGT